GGCCCTGCGGCTCGGGGACCCAGCAGTGCCCTGCCTCTGGGCGTGGGGCAGCCTGCCCTGCCTCGGGAGGCACAGCCCTTTTTATTAACCAGTGTTGGTTTCAGGAGCTTTTGGGTGTCCAAGCAGGGTGTAAATTGCTGCAGATTCCCTATACTGACGAATTGACTAGAATTTTTCACCTGTGGTTTTAGAAGTCCTTTCTTTTGGACAGTCTTAAGATTGCTGTGAGAAGGAGGAGTCAGTTCCCTGCTGGAGGTTGAAAACAAAAAAACAGAAGTAGATTTTTAGGCGATGTGAAAGTTTCAAATAAATTTGTTGGCAGCTTGTGCTCCGGGGCTGCCTCCTCTGAGGAGGCACATTCCTGAAGCTTCCCCAAAACTGCCACAGAGGTAGGAGAGTCTGGTCCACCACTTCTGATCGTGTAACTCATTTAGTCGGGATTATTTTACCTCCCTAAATTTGACAGCTTGTCTCTCCCAAGATCACTTGATGCATAACCTTTTCCTATTTTTCCTCCCCGCTCCCCCCCCCCCCCCCAATCTTCTTTTTTAAGGAGAGGTAACGGCTGTATCGCTTCTGGAGGAGGAAGCAATGCTGAAACTCCTGCTAACAGTGCTGGGTGATGCCATCCTCCGGAACAGCGGTGCTGCTAGCAATGTGCAGGACGGGGGGCTGCAGGGAAGGGCGTAGCGAGACAGAACTGAGCCATACCGTAGGTGACGGCTGCGAGTCCTCTTGGTGCCCCGTATCTCTCCTGTGGGCTGGATGTCTGAAACCAGCGGTGATGCTTTCAGTTCTGAATACACAAGCGGTTGTTGGTCTGTCTACTACTGGGTGAGGAAAGCAGTTTAAATAAACACTCAAGATGAAAACTAAAACCCTTTCTCACAAAATGTCCCAATCTGGACCCTCGTAAATGAGTTTCTGATTGCACTTTCTGATATTTTGCTTTTCATACAGCTTCTTGAAATTTATTTTATTGTAGCTGTAATTATTTTTGTTCACACCTATTGTGCATTCTCTGTATGTATTTAAAAAAAAAAAAGCTTTGATATGTAATTTAATAATCAATTA